ATAATTGACTTTTTCATTTATTAGGAGAAATAAACCAAAATTATCCTATAATAGGAATAGAAACCTTGATTTAACAAAAAAATAGATGAAGGATATTTATGTCTTTTGATTAATGACACATCACTTTGTCAAGAGACTTTGTCAACTGACTTTGTACATGTAGCGCGATCGTATTTAAAAATGTCTTTTATTTTAAAGTTATTCATAAAAATATAATAAACATGCATCATATGCACAGGGTTCACTTACTAAGCGTCCGCACATTCCACATATCATTTCTCATTTTTCAGATGATAAAGGTAAAATGATTTTGAGATGATGACTTGTAATGATACGGGTTCATTATTATCATATTTAAATATTGAGTTCATTTTGTAAATAAATTTAACATTTAATTTAATTTTTTTATTTTTTATTGAGTACGAATCATTTCTATAAGTGAAAGTCATTAAATTTTTATTATGTAAAAGAAAAATCTAATCAATTTTCAGCATTTATGATTTTAAAAGAAAAAAAAATGACAATACTTCCAAATCTAGGATATCTAAATTTGGGAGCCTTACAAATACATATAAAGTATTATATCACGTCAATTTTTACTATAAAACAATGTTTCAACCCATGCTTAAATTTTCACAAACACACGTGTGTATATATTTAATTGATATAAAGGAATTCAAATGAGACAAACCCGACCCTTCAAAAAAAAAATTACAAAGAGTGCCACTTTTCTCATTTTCATTTTCACAAATATCTTGCATGCATTGCTTGAATTGATCAAAAGTTGATTTTTAATATATATTAACTCAATCTAATCCATGCAAATCTATTTATTATATACTAACTCAAAATTATTAATTTAAAGATGAAATTTCATATGTACTAGAACAAAAAAAAAACCTCAACTACGTCAAAATCAAACAAAATATCAACTAATTGAATTAAAAAGAAGCAGAAACATAAAAACTTGTAAATTTGAGTTGATTATTTGCAGAATTTGGAGAAGAAAACTTTGGAAAAAAGATAGTTAAAATAACCATTGATCTGGTTTGAGCTTTATTTTCTCAAGATTTCGTCATTTAGGGTGTGTTTGATGGATATTATTGAGAAAAGAATGTATTTTAAATAGTGATATGATAAGAAATATGTGGTTAAAAAATAAGTAAAAATTATTGATGTGGTGAAAAATATTATTTTTTTGAAACATGTGTGGTTGAAAATGAATTTTGAAAGAACGTATTTTGATAAAATGTGTGTCAAAGGGGTTTGCTATTTCTTACATGCCATTTCATTTTATTTATTATTTTTCCTACTTCCTTTAAAAGAGAGGATCCTAACTCCACTGTTCATTCTGTGCCCTACCTTTCACATGGAGAA